ATAAAATTATACACATAGCTCAATAGATGGCGTATAATTTTAATGTCATTTTTTAAGCAAATTTTACAAATAATTTATATAATCCATCAAAATCTTTAATAAAAAAGGCATCTCAATAAAATATCAGTTTTTCTTCCACAATTGATTGCAGCAAATTTCATAATAATTAAATAAAATTTAACATAAAAATGCATTGATTAAGTCATCAGTCGTGCATTCCAGACTCGTACATTGCATTCAGACTGCGTTTTTTCTTCTATGAATTATAACGATTTAATTCTTTTTTAACATGTTACATGTGAAGAATGTCGCTCGCGTGGGATTTAATTTGAAGCACACCCACTTGATTGAAACACTCAGTTGGCATCCAGTTTTACGCCCAGATAGACACGTTTCAATTCCGAACGCCCTTTTCCTGTTGCTCTGTTTTATTTTATATTTTTCTGTCACTGCGAATATCACCTGCACACACACATTTCATTATTATTATTTTTTGTCGCCACAAGAATTGGAAATTTGCAAACATCCCCCACACACACACTCACATCGATGCAGGGCAGAGTTATTGGATTTCCATCAAGGAATTTAATACTACTGCTCGATGCATGCATATTCGCCCGGAAATCCCATTCTTACGTTCGTTTTACTACAATCATCCCGACCGGATGATGTTCCTTCCTTCCTTCTTTTCATTCCCTTCCATTTTCCTTTCTTATTTACGCGCGAAATGCAATAACGCCGCAGACTAGGGGGAAGCGAAAACACTGTTTCCTTCCAATTGAATATCTCACTTCAATATACACACTGCAACTTCATAGTAATTTTCAATTTTCTTTCAACTACAACATTATATACAACAAATCCGAAAACTTTATCTAAACCAAAAGTTATTTATATTTGTTTTCCTATGCAATTTGGCACGTGCAAGTAAAAATAAATGGCATTGGCATATTTTAACTAATTTTTCGCACGCACGCCTCAAGGGAATTCGTATAAAGAAAAACCGTCTTTTCGAGCTACAATTTACCACAAATTGTGGATTCCGTCGAAATAACACCGGCATTAAAGCCTCGGAAATGTCAAATTTAATGAATTCTAATAGCTCATTCTTCTCTCTAAGTCTACAATTACACGCAATTAGAGGAAAGTGTTACCTCCATTTAAACGCATTTTGCTGCAACCATTATAAATAGAGAAATTAGCCTCTTTGTAAATGAAACCTCATTCTTTTCTTATTGTTATTTACATAATTACAATTGATTAAATATAAGAAAAGTGGTCTAGTTACAGTTGTAAATGTATTTACATATATTCCCAATAGATGGACAAAAGATCTTTTAGAAAAAATTTTTTTTTTAGTACAAAATTGAATTTTGAAACTAATTTGATAAAAATTTGGTAGTAAATTGAATAAGTCAAGACTGCGTAATTTGACTTATTATTTGTAGAAAGTGAAAAAAATGTGTTTTTTTTTTGGCGCTGAATGAAATGATTATAATCGCATTAAAAACGTGTATATGTTGTATACATATGTAGCAGCTGTGGTATTGAAACGAAGCCGTGGCGTTTCCTGCCTGACGAATTGAATAGAAAGAGAGACTGGTTGGGGTGGTTCACTAACAGAAGAAAAAAAAAGTAAACACGAAATGGGACGACCGAACGAACCACTTGCATCCCCCCAAAAATGATCCGAAGCGGTCGCTTTTTCCTTCGTTCCAACCCAAAAAAAAATAAAATGAAATAAAAAAAAAAGATGCTTCTACTCTGAATACATTCTATACGTCCATTGAAAACAAAACTAAATAAAAGTTGATTGAAATTTCGCAAGAGTTCCTCTTTTTTTTGTTGGCTCGTTAATATAAATTACAGTCGGGTGGAAATTTGCATACGGAATGAATTACCGTTAGACGGAAGAGAGATCCACCAGCAATCCACAAAATGAAAGGGATGAAAAAAAATAATGATAAATGAGTGAAGTAGAAACAGAAGATTTTGATTCACTTTTCTGCGGTTTAATCACACGATAACTTTCTAATTCTGCCATTAATGTACATCATTTACATTCGCGCGCACTCGACTTTCCTGCACAAAGTTTTGTTATTCAGCGAGAAGTTGGGTTTATTCGGATTATTCCAGCAGTTTATCATTGTTATTATTACGTCCATCGCAATTACATTGTGAACAGTCAACACCGACTAACTTTCATAAAACATCAACTGTATTATCGAATAAGAACTTTTATGAAAAACGTATTATTTCATATTTAATTTCAAAAACTTTTCATAACGAATTTTTACAAGTTTTCTGACTAAAAACCAACGAATTTTATTAATCAATTAGTATTAACTTATAAATTAATGAAAAATATTTAGATTTAAATTAATTAATTCAATAATTACAATGTAAAATATTCACTAATTGAGTTTACTAAAAAATATTTTTTTTCAAAATGAAGAATTATTATCGCAATTACATTGTGAACAGTCAACACCGACTAACTTTCATAAAACATCAACTGTATTATCGAATAAGAACTTTTATGAAAAACGTATTATTTCATATTTAATTTCAAAAACTTTTCATAACGAATTTTTAAAGTTTTCTGACTAAAAACCCAACGAATTTTATTAATCAATTAGTATTAACTTATAAATTAATGAAAATTATTTAGATTTAAATTAATTAATTCAATAATTACAATGTAAAAAAATTCACTAATTGAGTTTACTAAAAAATATTTTTTTTCAAAATGAAGAATTATTATCGCAATTACATTGTGAACAGTCAACACCGACTAACTTTCATAAAACATCAACTGTATTATGGAATAAGAACTTTTATGAAAAACGTATTACTTCATATTTAATTTCATAAACTTTTCATAAACAATTTTTACAAGTTTTCTGACTAAAAACCCAATGAATTTTATAAATCAATTAGTATTAACTTATAAATTAATGAGAAATATTTAGATTTAAATTAATTAATTCAATAATTACAATGTAAATTATTCACTAATTGAGTTTACTAAAAATATCATCAAACAAATGATGAAATCGATTCTTATTTTTAGATCACGTCTCGTTCTGTTCGTAGCCAACACGATAATAGTTAATTAATATTAATTATCGGTTACTGTGGAAACGCCATGATGTCTCGATTAGAATTCGTCGGAGGGTCCAAGGCGGGAACAAAAGAATTTTAATTATGTTCGATAAATCGGAGTCGGCGGATAGGAAGTACATCCACATACACACATATATTGTTGTGAACGATAGATAGCGCGTTTCGACTCCCAAAAACTTCTGCTTCCACGAATTAACAAGAGGGCCCAGAGTCAAAGGTCCCATGCAGCTGTCGAGGAGGAGGAGTGAGAAGGCCTCGACAAATTTCAAAAAAAAGCACTGTGGGAAAAAAGAGAAGCCTGTTCAACGACAATCAAGCATAAGTATAAATTAGAAGGCGAAAGCGCACGAATAATGTGCGGCCTTAATGAAGAGAGGTCATTGAAGCCATTATTGTTACATACAAACAAAAAAAAACTCAATACTTTTACTGCAACTACAAACGTAATTAATAATATACAAATTAATTATATTAATTTTAAAGAATTCGTTGTAATCATTTTGCAGCAATCGAATTAAATTATTTTTGTAACATAATAATTATATTAAAACTCAATACTTTTGCTGCAACTACAAACGTAATTAATAATATACAAATTAATTATATTAAGTTTAAAGAATTCGTTGTAATCATTTTTCAGCAATCGAATTAAATTATTTTTTTTAACAAAATAATTATATTAAAACTCAATACTTTTGCTGCAACTACAAACGTAATTAATAATATACAAATTAATTATATTAATTTTAAAGAATTCGTTGTAATCATTTTGCAAATCAGAATTAAATTATTTTTTTTTAACAAAATAATTATATTGATTTATATTTGCTTAAAATCAAAAATTAATTACGTTACGGCATTGAACATTTGAATAATTAAATGTCGAAGAACAAAAACGGTGTCTCATTACTAGTTTTGTTCTTCCTTTTGTTTCTATGCGTATTTTGTTTTTGTTTGGTGCGCTCGTATTTTGTTTTGGATACGTGCACGGTTTCACTTTTATTATTATTTTTTTTTAATTAAAACGTGCGACTCGCTAATGAAATTACAAAACGTGATTTCGGTTACGCAATAGTTAAATCCGATGACAGGAATAGTAGGAAATACTGATTACAGCTGTGCAGACACCGAATAAAGGGATGCGACTTGATGCGACAGTTTCGGGTTACTTTTGGTTGAAATACGAAAATTGAATAGTACATTTCATTAATAGCGTCAGATTATTTAATTCAATCAAAAACCAATTAGTTTAATGACTTTGAAAAGTCCAAACTTTTTATTTATATGTTCGATTACTTGACAAACATTTTTTTTTATGATTATTAAAAACGTCATTTGTAACTCAATTATAACTGGAAACATGTATAAACATAATGTTTAAGTTAGCAATGTTTATGTGAGAAAGTTTACTTGTTTTATTATGTCAATATAGTATTTGTACTGGACGTGATTCTAAACTGTTTGAAGTATACATAATATCTGTTCGTCTAGTTTACATTGTAAAATAGTGAAGATGTCATGGTCGAAAAATTACACAAAGCTTACTTTGATTTTAAGTAAGTTTATCTTCATTTAGTTGAGATTGTCTGGTCAAATGTATTTTAATATAAATTTGTTTATTTATCAGCATTAATCTTGTTTACTTGCACTAAGTCAATATAGTATTAGTACTTGACTGAGAAGGTTACTCTATTGCATACTGTTCTCAAATGGCAACTTAAGATAATATTGATATAATAAGATTTCTAGCCATTTACATTTTTGCAGTTAATTTGTATTTTTTTCAATTTAATTTTAATTGTAAAATGTATTTGTAATGTGAAATTGATATTTTTTGGTGGAGGATTTTGGGTGAGTATAAAAAAGAAACTGACCTTCTGAATCCTCCGGCCGGGAAGGGGAATCGAAATCCAGTGGGCGATGGTACCGGAACTGGGACGGGTCCCGCACCTTGCACGAGCGGGACCTGACCTGGCACCACCTGGGGATGGTGGAACGGTACCATCGCGTTGGGTACTAATCCATTAGGCACTATACTGTTGGGCACCATAGTTTGCACAATAGTTCCGTGTGGCACGAGGATGTTTGGTGGAGGAAGCGGTGGCGGCGCCATCATCTGACTGCCGTTCGAGGGCATCGTCGAGTACGGTGGCGGAAGGGTGTTGTTCAGAAGATCCGGGAGTCTATCGGTTTGCGTCCCATTGAACTGGGTCGAATTATCCGCGGTGCCGCCGCTGCTGCTGCTGACGTTATTGTTATGACGATGGTTGTAGACGCGCCTATGGTGACGACGTTCTCTCCTCTCCCTACGTCTCTGCTCCCGAGCCGCCGCCTCGTTGACGACGGTGTCGTCCGTCTGGGCTTCAGTGGACGTGAAGGTGCGCACCTCCGGTACGACCGGTTCTTGACTGCTGTGCACTATGACCTCGGTGCACGTCGACGTGGTGTTCGTCGCGAGCGTGGGCGGTGGAGGCGCGTAGCTCGTCGGAACGGGCAGAGTCTGCTGGTTGACCGGCATCGCCTGCACGATGTTAACATTGGAAACGTTGTTGGAATCGCTGGTGGTGTGGTTGTTGTAACAGTGGATGGTGGGCACCGCGGATACAACATTCACCGGTACCGCTCGGTAATAATTCACGTTCACATTGCTGACATTTAGCGGTACTCTTCCAGATCTCGTTGCGTTCAAATCGGAGCCGTTCCTCTGGTGCACCACAGCAGCACCACCACCACCGTTCACATTCTGGTAGGGCATCGAAGAGCTCCTCATGTGATTCACCGCAGCCGTGTTCACATTAGTCGTGTAACGCTGATGATTCAAGATAGAAACGATGTTGGCGTTGTTGATGGTCGTTGGTGGTCTGTATGGGGTTGCGACTGGTTCGGATCCGTTCCTCGGATGATGGCCCTGAAGGAATACGTTGCTGTTACTATTGTTGTTACTGCTTGTACGAAAGGGTTCCGAGATGTTGCGCGAGTGCGTCGGCATCAGCAGGTTATTCCGATTCGAGGTCATCGCTGAAGACGGAACTGATGCTTGCCGCGGATGGCTCGGTAATCCGACGACGTTCACTGAGCTCAGGTTGTTCTGAGCACCGCGCACTTGAATCTGCTGCTGCTGCATTTGCAGCTGGTGCACGTTGTTGTTATTGTTGGTCCTCTGCTGCAGGTGTATCATGGTGGAGGTTCCTCCGTAATGCATCAGATTGATGTTGCCGTTGCCAATTTGTTGGTTCTGCTGAAGAGCATGATGGTTCAGCTGCTGCTGCTGTGGTGGTATTTCGACGCGCATAGCGGCTGCTCCAGATGTATCATCACTGGGTGAACTCGCGCTAGGACAAGAGGAAGGGCTGCTGCTGCTGCAAGGACCTCGACGTCCGAGCTGTGTGTGGAGCGGTGCGCGACGCGAAGCGGCTGCCGTTCCGCACTCGATGGTACTAAGAACGCTCTCCAACTGGGTTCCTGAATGTTGCTCAGCCGCGTCACGTGACGCAAGCGATTGGCTAAGCCGGTTTACGTGCAGGTTATTAACCAAAAGATGTAGGTCTGGTGCAGCGTTGCCGTTCCTCTCGGTACCATTGTTCGAGGATTCAAGGCCGGACGAAGACAGGCTGCTGCAAGAACTCGAGGACCCCAATGAACCGTCGCTCAGTTTTTGTTTGTTCTGGTACTCGTACGGCTGCCACAGAAGAGAATTTAGGGCCTCCTCCACGTCCTGGTGGAAGGAATTCCTTCCCTTCCTACCCTCGACTTCCACCCTTCCGCTCACCGTCACAATCTCACCATTGTTGTTGTTGTTATTGATGTTATTGTTAATACTAACGTTCATCGCATTTTTAGGAGCATTCCGCGCTTCCACCCCCGGTATCATCCTTTTTGGGAAAAAGACCTTCTTCAGCGTCTCTTTGCAGGTCTCCGCAAGCTTTGGCGATGCCGCTTCCACCAATTCCACGCTCTTCCTCTCCCTTCCATACTTGCGTCCATCTCCGTCCACTTCCGGTGGTCTTCCTTGTTCCGGTATATTTCCACCACACGCAGCCATCACTCTATCAAATCCATCAATCGATCCATCTGATCTGTAACATCAAAATACATTTCAATTACTGAAATTAAAATAGAAACATTCAATTTCATAATCTGCAATAAAAAAAAATAATATTCTAATAAGATTACTTTCATCCGATATTCCAATAAGAAACTAATGAATTTGTTCCAAGTAAAAGAGAATTCTAATAAAAATGCACAAGCAAACAACAAAACGTAAAAGCAATATCGGATTTTCCATTTAAACTAGATTATGCAACAAAAATTGTAATTTTGTAGTATAAACCCAATGTTTACGCTATTATATGATAATCGAATAGTGTAGATATTGAATAACAAATATTTAAATATAGTAATGAAAAATATTTCCTTAGTAAAATGTAAGTGTTCTAAATATACTGGGAAAAGCACGGATGCGGAAAACGAAAATGCAATAGTGCAGGAAACAGATGTGGAATTATCCGCTCGGCGATAAACACTCTTGAAAAATTAAAACGAAAACGAAAAAAAAATCAAGAGAGAGAAAGAGAGAAGTCTATTTGTTTTTGAACCAAAACCACCACCATCATGAGACACATGGCTCGAACTTATTTTTACATAAATAACCCGCATGTTTTTTTAAAGCCCTTTTCGAATTAAATACCCAAAGTAATCCCACTGTGCAGCAAATAACGCTTATTTTCACATTCTTTTTCTTTTACCATTATTCGCAGCTAAACTTTTAATAGCCAAATTAATTAACGTTTTACACTTACACCAGAGAAATAAAACAAATATTTCTAAATAAATGATGAACATTTTTTTTTTCAATTTATTTATTTCGCTTTTACTGAATGACTTAATCTGCATAACGTAATTAAATTCATTAAGTGGTCATAACGTGCAGTGTTTATGACATCGCACTTAATGCTTCGCATCCGAGCGTTTTCTCAATTGAAGCCGAAACATTTCGATAACCGACAGATATTAACAAAACCATTGTACATATTAAAATCGAGCAGATTCTTTTCATTTTTTCAAGCAAAAGTTCGGAGATTTGCAAATAAACTTCGAAACAAGAGAGCTTTAGTGCTCTTTGCGCCACGGGTTATAAACTCCCTGCTTTTCTTTATCATCCTTCATCGATCGCGCAATTAATAATTAACGCATTGTTTAAGCTTCGAAAACAATACTTAGTTTATAAAAGATTATTTATCTACTTGATAAATTTTATAAAGATATTTCTTAGGAAGTTCAAATTGAATATTAATATTTAATATGTTTCATCATTTTTTTCTGCACGTTTTCATATAGTAAATGTATGCAACTGAACTATCTTGGCTTAAGTTAAGTAATTGATGAGGTTACGTAGTTTTCACGTAAGCTGCTGCATGTATGCAACCCAATTTCCAAGAGCATTACAGATATTACGGTTCCCGAAGGAGTCGTCTCGCAACGTTCAGTGATGTCTATATACTCGCCAAAGGTATTATCAACTTTGCAGTTATCATTCACATAACTATTCGTAAAATAAAGCAAAAGTAGTAAAAAAGTTTGATTTTACTTTCTGGAATAAACTGTTAACCTTGTTGTTATTTAATCAATCATATTTTTTTTTCTCTCATTGTGCGTTTTCTCATGTTTGCTTTACCCACGATTTAGGGAGAGAGCCAATATTTGCAATACGGGAATCGGTTTAAAACGAGGGTGGAGGAGATCGCCAACCCCACAATTCAACAATTAGATTGTTGGGGAAAAATCAAGTCGAGTCGCAATGAAGTGGACGTAATTTCTGCACGCAAGTGGAATAAATTCGTGCATGCAAATTCTGCTCAGCTTCTCTTTCGTGAACAAAGAAATCCGGATGCGGAAATGGTGGTCGCAGATAACGGACGAAAGTATTGTACTAATATGTAGAGAGTTCAAGACTGGTGTTTACCAGTACTAATTTCACGTGGAATGAAGCCATGCATTTTCAAATTAAAGTATATCTCGTCGTCGTCTCCGAATTTGAATTTCAGATGCGGATTGCGCCGTTAAGAGGGATGCAATGAGGGTGAGGGTGCATAATTGGGTATGAGGGGGAGGGGGCGATGGAAATCGAAATAAATACGTGAACCACCCTCGAATTTCGCGCAACGAACAAAAAAAAGAAAACGCGCAGCAACAATACAAGAAAAACAAATATATATATAGAAGCAGTGTTCTTCAAACTGTGGTCCATTTTCTACACGATCTACAAGTAAATTATATAAAATTTATGATATGCGTTTACACAACTAATAGGATTTTTGTTTAATTTCAAATAATAGATTTTTGTGATTGGTTTAGATTTGGATAAAGCCACCAATGGTTTGTGTAGGTCCGACCCGATCATAAGAACCAATAGAATTGCTAATTGAAGACCAATAAGAATTGTTTAATCGTTCAAAGCAGCTGTCAAAGCAATTTTTGGATAATCACTTTTTTTTATTAAATATGTAAATATTTTAACACTTTTATTTGGATTAAAATATATCAAATATTATAAAATTTATTAATTTTCTAGAAATGATACACAAACATTTGTATAGTATTTGACAAGTTCCAAGTATTAAATACACTCGGTCCTTTATTTATGCGGTTTCTATTTCAAGAAGCATTTTTTTTGAATAATATTTATGATATGCGTTTACACAACTAATTGGATTTTTGTTTAATTTTAATTAATAGATTTTTGTGATTGGTTTAGATTTGGATAAAGCCACCAATGGTTTGTGCAGGTCCGACCCGATCATTAGAACCAATAGAATTGCTAATTGTAGACCAATAAGAATTGTTTAATCGTTCAAAGCAGCTGTGATTCGTCGTGTCAAAGCAATTTTTGGATAATCACTTTTTTTTTTATTAAATATGTAAATATTTTAACACTTTTATTTGGATTAAAATATATCAAATATTATAAAATTCATTAATTTTCTAGAATTGATACACAAACATTTGTATAGTATTTGACAAGTTCCAAGTATTAAATACACTCGGTCCTCTTTTTATGCGGTTTCTATTTCAAGAAGCATTTTTTTTTAAATAATATTTTTGATATGCGTTTACACAACTAATTGGATTTTTGTTTAATTTCAAATAATAGATTTTTGTGATTGGTTTAGATTTGGATAAAGCCACCAATAGTTTGTGCAGGTCCGACCCGATCATTAGAACCAATAGAATTGCTAATTGTAGACCAATAAGAATTGTGTAATCGTTCAAAGCAGCTGTGATTCGTCATGTCAAAGCAATTTTTGGATAATCACTTTTTTTTTATTAAATATGTAAATATTTTAACACTTTTATTTGGATTAAAATATATCAAATATTATAAAATTTATTAATTTTCTAGAATTGATACACAAACACTAGGTCCTCTTTTTATGCGGTTTCTATTTCAAGAAGCATTTTTTTTTAAATAATATTTATGATATGCGTTTACACAACTAATTGGATTTTTGTTTAATTTCAAATAATAGATTTCTGTGATTGGTTTAGATTTGGATAAAGCCACCAATGGTTTGTGCAGGTCCGACCCGATCATAAGAACCAATAGAATTGCTAATTGTAGACCAATAAGAATTGTTTAAACGTTCAAAGCATCTGTGGTTCATCGTGTCAAAGCAATTTTTGGATAATCACTTTTTTTTATTTAATATATAAATATTTTAACACTTTTATTTGGATTAAAATTTATCAAATATTATAAAATTCATTAATTTTCTAGAATTGATACACAAACATTTGTATAGTATTTGACAAGTTCCAAGAATTAAATACACTAGGTCCTCTTTTTATGCGGTTTCTATTTCAAGAAGCATTTTTTTTTTAAATAATATTTATGATATGCGTTTACACAACTAAT